GCCTCTTAATCTCATTAATATCCTGATTGTCTTCCTCAATCTAGGGGCAGCCGATGGGGTGGTACCGCAAGATAAAATGACCTTCAAATTCAGCAGATAAAATGGCCATCAGATAAAGTCCTTCTGAAGGAGAACCGTGGAGCCAGGTCCACCCCTGGACTCCCAGTCAGTACAAAAGGGTTTCCTAAAACACCAGATGTTTCAAGGTGGCATTTGTTTCTTTTCTGAACTGAAATAAGCTGCTACTTTGGGACAATAGGGCTTATTTACTATGGGGACCTTTGCTGCCGAGATGAATATTTTTACGACCACCCTCATAAACGCCCCGCCCCTTGTCTGCTGCCCGGGGAGGGGGCGGAGCTTCAGAGGTGAGCTGAGGTGACCGGGCTGTCTCAGAAGCCCCATTAAGTTGTTAAGGCATTTAGTGCCCCAGACGGTGCCGAATGCAAGGGCAGTTCAAATCCCTGCCCAGATGGGGATGGGGTGGTGGAAGAGGGGGCTCACATCTCTTTCTGCAGAGTGCAGAATCTACCTTGGTCAGGGGCAACAGTTGGTGCAGGGGAAGCAGTAAACTAGCCAGACTGGGAGACCCCCATCCTTGGCCATGCTCTGCTAAAGCCTTTTGTCTTTCAGAGGGGAGCAATAAGAATGTGGGAAAAGAAGGGACTGTGGGGGTATTGTGTGTGTGTTGGTTTCCATGCCTGAAAAGTTCTTAGCATCTGCATAAAGCAGAAGAGATGGTCCGTGTGTAATAGTTCAAAACCTGTCTCTACTGCTTGCTAACTATATGAACTTGGGCAAATTATCTACATCCCAAACATCTCACCTTCGTTGATTGTAAAATGGGGATATGGGTACAGAAAGTTTCTACCCTACAGGGTTGTCATGAGAATTAGATAAGATGATGCATGGAGGCGCTCAGCGCAGGGGCTGGAGCCCAGGAAATATTTAATCAATACTAGCTGTTATGATTATTCACATTAGCCATAACCCTTCCGTTGGGCACTTTTGAGATCTCTTTGGGCCCTACAGATGTCAGCATCAGGGAAAGCAGCAACAGCAACCACACAGATCTCCTGGCCCAGAGTCTGATTTGTCTAAGACTCAGTCTTTGGACTCTTGTGGGTGACTTGGTAGGGCATGTGAGAGGCCACAAGGGGGAGGTGGGAGGCAGGATTCTCTGGGTTTCAAGCTCTGATCTGACCATCAAGTCCACTAGGCTTGGAGAAAGGGCAAGAGAAGCAGGAGTAAGCAGCCACAGAAATAAAGGTCTCCACTTAAAGAGGCTGTCCATCAGGGTACCCAAAGATTCTTCTGGAAGGGCTTCCTCTCACCTCTGGGAGAATGAGCCTCAATCTCCTTCCCAAAAGATGATAGAAGAGTGAGGACGTGATGTGTTGGCAGAACGAAAGCTGATGAAGACCTTCCGCTCCCCCCTTGCTGTCGCAGACAGCTGCAGGCTGCAGCAAAGGGTACAGTGAGCCAGGCCACCACAGATCATGCAGCCTGGCCCCAAGGCTTGGGCCAAGGCTAGCCCAGCTTCCATTCCACGCCAACTTCCTCCTCCTCCTCCTCCTCGAGCCAATCAATACAAGCACCTGTCTCCAACCAGTCCCCTTCCTCGCCACAGCCCTGCTCTCTGACCTTTTGGGGGCCTTTCTCTTGATTCCACTCCAGAATGGAGGAAGGGGCCATCACTCCGGGCCTGCTCAATGGCCTCAGAATGGGCTGTCATGGGGCCTATAACCAGGGACAGCTCCTGCTGGCGAGAGCAGGGCTGGGAGGGGGGTGTGTGTGCAGATAAAGGCCTTCCAGGCTGAAGATAAATGGCCGCCTGCAGCCTGCTACAGTAACTTCAGGCCCCCAAGAAGAGCAAACAAAGGGTGCCCCTGTGACACTCACTGGAAAGATGAAGGCCCATCAGCGGCAGCCAGGCTGGTTCAAAGCCCCAACTTAATTGGCAATTAAGCATGCATAAGAGAGACAAAGCCATGACAACCCTGGGCTGCATGCTGGTGTGTGATTGTAAAGCCGGGAGGGGCAACGCAGAAAACAGCTGATTCTGCTGACAGCGTGTTTGTAGGGCACCTTGTAACCAATCAGCCGCTGACAGAGGCAAAGTGCTCCTCCTGCCACTCCTATTGTGCCGGACATTCCAGGACCAGGGTCACACTGTGGTCACCGTGGGCAAGTGGGCCACAGCACACCCAGAGTGGCTGGGAGAGAAGGCGGCTCGTTAGGGAAGGGATGCTCTCCCCTCCAGGAAGAAGGTTCAAGGGAAAGATTTGTCTCTAAAGTGCCTCCAGTCCTCCTGGCTCAGAGGCTGGCGTTCAGAGGGGAGGGAGTGCGGGGGAGGGAGATCGGGGCCTTGTCTCCCCAGCTTAGCCTTGGAGGGTGTTTGGTGCTGCTGCTGACTCTGGGTGTTGGTCTCTCCTCGGCCTCCACAGAGCTCGTTTTGTATTCTACACCCACGTACATTCTGGGGTTCGTTAGAGAGCGTACCTTGGCCGTGGGGCCCATGATAGGAAGTGCACCATGAGGCTCTTTGGACTGTAGCCCTCCCTGAGTGCTGGGCTCCAGCCTGCTGTCGGCCTAGCCCTGGGTGCGTTCCCCAGCAGCCCCATTACACCTCACGTGCCCCCCCCTGGCAACCTGAGAGGGGAAAACAGACACGCATGCCAGCATCCTGCACCCCAGGCCCCAGCCCAGTGGCCGCTTCTGCTTCCACTCCCAGGGCCAGGTCACATGTCACTGCCTCTTAGGAATAATGCCCCAATGTGTGAAATTTAGGAGGAAATGGATTTCTGCTGCCGGTCCTTCTTCCCACTGCTGTAATAACAAGTGTGATAATGATAGCAATTACAGTTTATTGGGAAAGATGGTGTTTATACATTCTCTCATTTAATCCTCACGTGGACCCGATGAGGTAGGTCTGACTTCTTGATTTTACAGACAGGAAAGTCAGACTCAGAGAAGTTACATGGCTGGGTCACGCTGCAGTTATGGGAATCAATCTGGCTGGCTAGATGTGGGCTTCAAAACTAAGTCCAGAGCATCCACTCTCTGGGCATGGGAAGGACTATCGTGATGAGCCCCGAGTGAAAATTAAGGCAGAGGGGAAGGGCAGCCCCTGAAAATATACAATGTCCCATAATTAATGCTCCATAAATAGGAGTCTCTCCCTAGAAAGACACACAAAACCCTGAAAGACAGCCTTGGTCCCTAGATGGTTCTGGGCTCTCCATGCCAGCACAATGTCTTCCCAAGACGACAATATGCTCCTGTGGGCAGGGACACACGTGCATCTATGCTGTACCAAGTGGGAATCAGCAGGCCTGAGTTCCAGTCCCATCTGCCACCATCGCTCTGTATAACTTTGGCAAGTCACTGCTTCTTTTGAGCCTCAGTTTCCTTCTTTGACGTTCTGCCCAGTTCTAGCATTCCATGATTTTTTTCAAAGGCCAACATCTAGGGAGACCCCAGAGAACCCACTCCAAGTGGGCCATGCCTTCTGGGACTCCACTCAGAGGGCTCTGGGACTGTATTTTCCACCCACCCTGCTCATCTTCCAGGACCTGCCCCTGTCCCTCCAGCCCCTCTCTGTCTCCTGTCCATATACAGAAGGCCTAAGCTAACGACCCTGTGGTGACCTCACCACAACCCCAGCTTGTCAGAAAGCTGCTGGGCCTTTGTTTGGTTTGCAGGCTCCCTGACTTTGGTGTGGAGATCACAGGTCCCAACACAATAGCCATTGTCTCCTCAATAATGCCCCTTGCCCCAACCACGCCCCCCACAGCTCCAGAGCCAGCTCCGTGGATCACTGCGGGCGGCAAGTGCTCCAGTCTTGCTCAGTGCCGGCCACATGCCGTTTGCCACTGCCCTCTGAACCCTGCTTTGAATTTCCATTAAGGCACTGGGTTACTCTGCAATCGGACCAGTGTCCATCAGGGGCTCCTCTGCCTCTCAAGAGTAACCAAAACTTACTCCCCGTGTGGCTGAGCTTCCCCTTCTATGGGAGTTGGATCCAGAGAAGCCCCTGGCCCTGGTTTATGCTGGACAGTTTCAGGCTCCCAGAGATCCTGGTGGGAGCACAGAGTAGAACAAAAGCTTGGGCCCCCCAATACTTAGGCCAGCCCCAGACCTCAGGGCTCTCCAAGCAGTGGAGCAACCAGCAGGCAAGGAAGCAACAGACTTCAGAACCAACCCTGAGTTGGAAATGGTGCTTGGTTCTCCTTTTGCAAGCCCTTCCCCAGAGCAGGCGGGAGACCATGCCATACTCTTTCTACACGGGCACCATGACGGCCTCAATAAGCATCCTAATTCTGGGAAGCCAGCTTTCCTGGAAGAACTAAGCCCCAGGCGGAGAAGTGCCTTCAGACTATGTGTGATGGAACACTCAGCATATAGGGCTTCCACCCTGATAAACCCACACCCCACAGCAGAGGCATGCTAATCCAGGCCGGGACCTGGCACACAGTAGGTACTCAATGAGTTTTGGCCGATTCATCAGTGCAAAGACTTTATGTGGCTGTTTCCACCCAAACTCTGGCAGAGAACAAGCAGAGACTGTCAACAGAGTGGCCCTTCCCCAGAGGCCCCTGGGCTCCTCCTGCTGGAGCTGGACAGAGCCCTGGGGTAGGATATGGACGGGGTGGAGGAGGTGACCCCTCTGCCCGCAGTGTGGACCTGGCATGCCAATAAGGCAGCCTCTCCGTCTAATCTGACAGCCGCACTGACTTGCTGAGTCAGCAGCCACACAGGGAGAAGAAAGGGGACCAGAGAAGACTGGGGAGAGGGGCTCTTGGAGGCTGAGCAAGGACTCAGAGGAAACCTGACCACAGCCAAACACTGTTTTCACAAGAACATTCTGGCAACGGGAGGCCAGCCTGAGCACCATCCCAGAGCATTTCCTCCTCTGAAAAGTCTTGACCCAGATGAGACCCATGGCGGGAAGCAGGACGGTTGGGCTGCTGAGGCAGTGAGGCCTGGGCTGGGCTTACCTGACAGCTTATTTGGAGGAGAGGTGCTGGGCTGGTGGTGGGGAGAGCCGTGGGAGAGCAGGGGGTTCAGGTTGTGCGTCTGGTTGGAGCTGTAGGCATCCATGGCCAGCTTCTGCCGGAACGCCTCCTCCTTCCTGCGGTTTGCAAACCAGTTGTAGACACGGACCTCAGTGACCAGGTTGGAGCCCAGGCCGTGGGCTTTGGAGGGGGAGACGCCTCGCTGCAAACATTCTGCCCTGAGGATGGACAGTGGGGGAGATGGTGAGCAAGGACAGCCAGGGGGAGGCTTGCCGGCGTTTGGCCCTAGACACACAATCCCAGTGGTCTCGGTTAGGAGTACGAAGAGGCCAAGGATAGAGCTAGATCCTGGGGAAAAGCCTGTAATGAGAAAAGTCCAGCCTGTGTAGTAGTTCTCTGATGACATGGTGGGAATAGGGCCAAACACAGGTGCAGCACAAGCTCTGTGGCCCTGTCAGTGAGGGGCATAGGCCTCTGGTGTGGCTCCTTACAGGAAGAGAGTAGTCGAGAGGCAGGTAATTCAGGGAGAAGGTCCAGACCAGGCCTCTTGACATCTTATGTTGCTACCCTTCCCGACCTACAAAAGGTGACGTCCTTCACTAGCTCTGATTCCCTTCAAAGGGACTTCTGGCCGTTTGGGGTTTGGATACCCCCAAAGGGTGCCAGGGAAACCAAATTCCTCATTTGTGCCACAGGAATCCTCCCCAAAAGGCAGGCTGGGTGAGGTACAAGGAGAACATGCCGAGGTGGCTGGTCTCCAGCTTTATCATTGCCCATGAAACCCCAATTCCACGTGTCAGAGAGACTTTTAGACACCATTGGATGCTAGGGGGCTTCTCATTAGCAGGGGGACAGAGTATAGGCTGTGACATGTCCAAGCTGATTGCTTTGCCTCCCCCTTCCTGGCCTGACCTCCCCAGCCATACGTTATTGCTAGAGCCAGCCCAGCCCAGAAACAGAGAGACCACAGGTGTTGGCCAGAGCAAAGACCAGACTTTTAAGAAAGTCAATGTTGGAGGGACTTTGGGTAGCTCAATCAGTTAAGTGTCCAACTCTGGGTTTCAGCTCAAGCCTGAATCTCATGGTTCATGAGTTCCGGCCCTATATTGAGTTCCATGCTGACAGCATGGAGCCTGCTTGGGATTCTCTCTCTCTCTGCCCCTCCCCCACTTATGTGAGTGCGCTCTCGCTCGCTCGCTCGCTCTCTCTCTCTCTCTCTCTCAAAATAAATAAATAAACTTAAAAAAAAAATCAATGTTGGAGTCAGGGAGGATGGCAGGAATGAATGAATGAATAAATAAGATATCCCAAGGATTTCTAATAGTTTTCTTTAAAATTACATGCAGTTGTTAAGATACCAAAAGAACTCTATTCAGTGTGGGCAGAGTGGATTGGACAGATCTGACCAGGTCTTTTCTGCCAAGTTTCCTTTTAGACCAATGGTTTTTCCCTAGTCTGCATGGAGGTCAGACACATGATTCTCATTTCACTGGCATATTTTAGACTCTCCAGAGTATCTTCCCTGCAATAATAGCTCATGGTCTAAATATCCCCCAGAAAAAAAAAAAGATTCCACAGCTAACAATCAATTCAACAAAGCCAAGTAAGTCTCTTGACTCTAGGCCTTCTTGGAATCTTTAATATGTTACTTTATGCCATGACTCCCCAAGAGGAACATCTGATGTTTCTCAAATTATTTGAGACTTATTTGACTTATTCAAGTCTTATTTGACTTGAAATCGGGGTTCCGTGGAACACACATTGGGAAACCCCACTTTAGCCACACTTAGCTGGATAATCAGTATTTCAATATCCTGGGACTGAGGGGATGGATCTCAGGTCCGTGTGCTTGCCTGCCTGCTCGAGCGAGTTTCTGGTCGTGTTACCTGTTGCACTCCTCCACTAATGCTTCCCTCTCTTCCTTGCTGGGGTTCTTTTGCCGGTCGTAGGCCTGGTACAAGATTTGCTGGGATGCGGGCCCCCATTTGAACCGGTTGCGACGCATCTTCTTGTTGGGGGGCTCAGAGCAGGCGTCATCGGACTGCCCAGGCCCCTGGCTCTGTTGACTGAACTCTGGAAAGAGAAACAGCAGCTGATCCTGACTGCTTTTGTCTGTCATATTTCCAGAACTCTGGACTGTCTGGTTGAATTCTGCAAAGAGAGAGGAGTAGATTTGATAGGGTCTGTAGCCTTCACTTGGCAGACAGACAGACAGACAGACGGACGGACAGACAAAAACACCTTTATTCTTCTCCCCGAAGCTTTGCCATCTGCCGTTATTACATGTGGGGTGTGGGGTACGGAGGGGAAGCCCATGATAGGCTCCTCTCTGCCCACCTCAGTCTGCCCCACAAAGCCACCCCTTTCCTTTCTTTAAAGGAGCTCAAATATGACCAACCATTGTTTTTAGTGGTAATGTGTTTTCATTGGATCACTGGCTCTCAGACAATGAAGCAACCCTCTGAATCCTGACATCTTGTGTTTTGGTGTCCAAGAGGATGAGCTCAACCAAGTCTCAGGTCCAGAGGGAAAGGGCTCAAAGGTACAATTTGCACTTAGACAAAATATTCAGAGATTAAAAACAGCTTGCCCCACCTCTCCTCTCTCCTCATAGATCCTAGGGGTCCACATTATGATGCTATGTTCTTAGAAAAACCAGGACCCAAACCTGTCGACTGGTACTTTGAAATAAATAGAACTGGAATTTTATATTAGAAAGAGCAGAAGCTCTCTGATTTCAGATCATTTCAAAGGTGATGGTGTGTATGTGTGTGTCCAGGGGTCCATTTATGAGGGAAATAGCCCCAGAGGGAAATGTCTCACAGACTTGCCTACACACTTAAAAGATGGCACATGCACAAGTCTACAGACACAGGATCTTTCTAGCAATGGCATTTAATGAGTTGGAGAAAGATAAATATAGATGAAATGATGCTCCCTGTCCACCCAATTCCCAGGGTCCAGGTACACAGTGACCCTCGATACATTTTTGGTTGAATGAATGAATGAAAGGTGGCAGCTCACCCAGTGATGACACCCTAGCCTATATGGTTTAAATGAGGTTTGATATTTACTCGTGGGCGAACTTTGTTGTTGTCCTCCTCATATCTGCATGAAGCAGGGTTCAGGGTCATTAGTTCCATTTTACAGATGAATAAGCATAGAGGCCAACCGCCCTGCTGAGCAAGGACACATAACAGATTCATTTCCTAACTCCTGGTCCCCATGTTCTGGACCTTGATGTTTTCCTTTCTTCGTTCCTAGAGTCCCTCCTGCAGGTCTCAGAGGCAACTTGATCCAAAATTCTCCAAGGTTCAAAGTCGGGGCTACTATTTAATGCTTGAATCCCCTTGACAACACCCTACCATGTGGTTTTCCAGTCTATTCCCTCCGGCAATAGGGAACTTACTACCAATCTAAGGATCCATTTCCATTTGGTTCCATCTTCAGAAGTAGTGGGCCTCTAACCAGCCTGGACTCAGGACTCAGCGATAGGTGGTGTTGGGCTTTGTTTGAACCGGTTGCCGATTGGCCAAGGTACAAGCAGACTCCTCGGTGGATGGACCGAACATGTCACTGGGGCCTTTGATTTGGGCCCCACCCACTTTGGATGATTCTCAGGCTACTTGAAGCGGTGTTTTCACTGGTTCCCAACACTTGCTTTAGATACCTGAGAGAAAGTTCTGCCAAATCTACTGGCAGGAAGCCACTGCCTCGGTTGGATACTGGCGGGTCCCAGCCAAGTCACCTAATTCCCCCCTGCCCTCAGCTTCCCTGCCTGTGGAATGGGACTGGGTGAACACCTAAGGGGCGCTCAACAGTCTCTCAGAACATCTACCTCTAGTCAGGATGGTGATGGGGACCCGAATTCCTATGGACGCCATATCTCTCAAAGTGCTTTCATACCTCTTATGTCATTTGGCTTCATGGCAGCCAACTAGTGCATTTACCTCAGGGACAATAAGAGGGAGAGGAAGAAGTTCCCCGCTCAGGGTCTTCTCTCCTCACTGTGACCCTGTGGAGTCACCATAAGAGCCAAAAGCCAGTATGGATAATCCCAAGGACCCAGGATCAACATGAGGCTCTTCACATGCTATGAAGAGATGTGATAACCATGAATATTTATTGAACCACTCCCCTGGAGGGGTATCATACAAGGTCCTCTAAGCATATCCCTTCGTCTGGTTCTCACAACCTCTACATGCAAGAAGTATCATTATCTCCACTTTGTAACTGAAGAAACAGAGGTTCAGACTGGTTACAGGACCTGCCCGAAGTCTCATGAATGTGGGGCATCAGCCAGGACATAACCCCGCCTAAAGACACGAAGTTCCTTATCAGCAGCCTATGCATCATCTCTTGCTAAAAACAAAACCCAACCAATACATGCCCAAAACCTTCCAATCTGACTTGGGTGGAGGTAATACAATGGACTCCACTGTTGCCTGTGGCAGGTGTGAGGCTCACTCAGCCGCCCAGAAGCGCGGGGCTGTCCTCTGAGGGGGCAGCCACTGGCACTGTGTTCAGAACTATGTGTGTGCCGGGATCAGCCTTGATACATTGCCTGTGGGGGCCCAGAACCATCCAGGCTCTACCCACCTCAGGGCCCTAGCTTCTCAATTTTTGAAGAAGCAAACTCTGGCCTCTACCACCTCTCCTCCACTTCCTTCTAGATTAATTCGGGGTGGGGGGAGGGGAGCGGAGAGACAGAAAATGTTCACTGCCCATAAAAATTACCTTGGAGAAGCTGGTTTCAACAGCCTCTTTACAGACTCAGAGCCAGTTTGGACAAGCAGGTTCTCTATGTGCAGATGGGCCCATGAATATTATCACTTATTAGTTTTAGTTTCTCAAGAAAATTTATGTAATCTTTTTCAGGTTATTTATTTGAGAACGGGGGAGGGACAGAGAGGGAGGGAGAGAGAGAATTCCAAACAGGCTCCGCACGGTCAGCACAGAGCCTGACTCAAGGCTTGATCTCATGACCGTGAGATCATGACCTAAGCCAAAAATCAAGAGCTGGACGCTTAACTGACTGAGCCACCCAGGCACCCATGTATCATCTTTTTATTTATTTATTTATTTATTTTTTAATTTTTTTTTTTAATTTTTTTTTAACGTTTATTTATTTTTGAGACAGAGAGAGACAGAGCATGAACAGGGGAGGGTCAGAGAGAGAGGGAGACACAGAATCTGAAATGGGCTCCAGGCTCTGAGCTGTCAGCACAGAGCCCGATGCGGGGCTCGAACTCCCGGACCGCGAGATCGTGACCTGAGCCGAAGTCGGCCGCTCAACTGACTGAGCCACCCAGGCGCCCCTGTATCATCTTTTTAAATTCTCCCACTTCTTTCTCCTTCCAGACACCCCATTCACTTGTGTCTCTCTTTTATTCATCTCACTTCCTAATTTTTATCCCATGTTTACATGTCTTATATTCATCCTTCAAGAATTAGTTCCAACATCACCTCCTCTAGGAAGCCCTCTGTGAGGTCTCTAGGCAATTTAGCAGTTCCTCTGCTGCCCCTTGTGTACACCTTTATAACAGCTCTTAGAAAGCTGCTGTCATGATCCACTCAAACATATCATCTCCCCCACTGGGCTGTAAGTCCCTGGAGAAGAGGGCCTTTGTATCTCACAGCCCCACACAGTGTTTGGCACCTAATAGACGTTCATACAGTATTTGCAGAATGAAGGAATATTTCTTAAGGTTTAGGTCTCATGTGGCTTTAAAACAGTAATAACAATAACTCAAAAAATCCCTGGCAGAGCCTGTCGTATGTTTTTGTAAAATGTTTCTTCTCAAGCATGTGGTGAAACTTTCTAGGACTTGTGTGTTTTTCAAAGCTTCTAGCTGGCCTTTCCTGTCTCCCTCTCCTTTCTGGGGGGACTCCCCACTGAACACAGAGAGGCGGCTCAAACTGGAGACACCACATGGGGCTTGGATTGGAGCGAGGGCAGGCCCAACGGTTCCCTGGCCTTCGGAGACTGTGTCTCCTGAGAATGTTCTAGGCCTTTTCAGGAATTACAGAGAGTTGCTTCATGTCAGACACACAAATTCTTAAAGACCTAGTCACCATGGATGGTGAGTCAACCCAGAGTGGGCCTCTTCTCCTATGCGGCTTTGCTTCTTCTAATCTATCCATTTAATGCTTCAGACAAGCAGCCACAATAGGAGATGGAGGTCTAAAACCTTTCCTTCTGCCATGAAGGCCTTTCCAGCCCACAGACATTGAGACCATAAATACTGAAACAATCACTTCGGAGCAGTGTAGGACAGAAAACAAGAATGATTTTAAAAAGTGGCCATCCAGTGAGAAGGGAGAAATTCCAACCCGGAAGGCAGTGGAAACTGATATCTTAAAGACAGAGAAGCCCACGGCCCAGAGGATAGTATAACGGGGAGGGCAGAAGCTCATACAAAACTTTACTAGGAAAGGGGCTGATGGAAATAATTAAAAGATAATGGAAGTATGCTGTCCTAAAATAAACATAGAATATCATTCAAATGCTGTTGCAACTTCCCGACACTTCAAAACAAAAATCTCTTGGTATTACTAGGAGGAAGGGATGTTGGGACAGAAAGGAGATTTGAGGATGAGGATGGAAATGACAAGTATTGATCGGTCAGAATTCCAAGTGCGGACACTTGTGCTGTGTCCTGATTTAGCCAGAGAAGCTTCTTCATCAGGCAGCGTCACTGGCTCAAGTCTCAAAGCTTTATGGATTTTGGTAAATGTGAGTAATCGCCTTGAGTTGCTTCAGGATGCACGCGCACCCTCCCCCCGCCCTCCCAAATATCAGGGTCGAGTTCTGAATACATCTATATATAAAAATGTCTTCAATTTTGTATGCTCTCTTCAGAGGAGGGGGGGAAGAGAACAGGAACAGTGATCAATATTATTGATTGCTACAAAATGTCTTCCTTGGAAACTCGGATCTGTGGTTATATATCAAGGAGGAGCTGCTTGGCTGACTTGGGGGACAATATTCCACTGTGACTTACTTGGCTTCAAAGAGAAGGGTGTTGGAAGCGGGGACCAGAAAATTCAAGGTACACTACATACACTAAGCACTTGTCAAGGTAGCTGGCTGGGTAGTAAGGACCACGGGAAAAGAAAATGATTGAAGCCAATCCATTGTATAATAACTATGGAAACCAAATCCACCTGCCAGCTTCCTTATATTTGCCAAGTGCTATGTAGGCCTTCTCAAGGAAGGGGAAACTGAGGCATCCCACGGGGGTCAGAATCAGGGCAAAGGTCACCACAGGTTGAGGTCGAGGGGGGATTAAAGCACTTACGTCGGAGGATCTCCCGTTGCTTTCGGACGTACCAGGTGTAGAGGGCTGCTCGCTTCTGGGTCTTCATGGGGGTGCCCTTGTTGAGATGCTGAGAGAGGTGTGACTGGTTCAGACCTGTGACGTCGACCACTTCCCTCTGGGGGATGTTGTGTTGCTGCATGTAGCCCTTGATCATTTTGGCAGCCCTCCAGGGGTCCTCACTAGACAGATAAGCAGATGGTTAGGATTCTGGTGGAAGATGTCTGAGGAGAAAGATTCTCTTTTTAGGAGTTTTACCTAAACTCTCTGCAAAACTTTGATCTTCACCCATTTCTCCATCCTTGGGAGAGAGGGGAGGCCAAAACAGAACCTAGAAAAAAGGGAGATGAAATCTTCCATACAGTACACTCCATCCCTTTCACGTGAGATCAGGAGGGTAAAGGGTAAAGGTGTCCGTCTTCAGGGATGGGACAGCACCATCAATGCTCTCTCTCATTAAGCAGAAAGAAAAGTTCCCATTTTGTTTTGCTTTCCTCCATTTTCCTGGAAAGTGAGGGACCTGAAGGCAAGAATTTTCCACTTCTGGAAAGTGGAGATGCCATTAGCTCAGGGCGGGGCTGGCTGATCCTGCAATGATGGGGGCCAGCATCAGTTCTGATGCCAGACCTCTTCTACCTTATTTCCATTCCGAATGGGTGTCTCGGTGTCTTAGCTTATGCGATTGGAGTGAAACGTGTGCCCATCTCCTGAGAAGCAAGGAGAACTTCTTGTCCAAATGCTAAACAGTTTTCAGAGTTTCAGAAAAGTTTTAAGAACTACAATGACGTTCCTCCTGGAGTGAAGAATTGTTCCAGTGAGGTGAGGCAACTTAAAAAAAAAACAAAAAAACAGGGGCATCTAGGTGGCTCAGTCAGTTAAGCGTCTGACTTCAGTTCAGGTCATGATCTCACGGCTCCTGAGTTCGAGCCCCACGTCGGGCTCTGTCCTGACAGCTGGGAGCCTGGAGCCTGCTTCCAATTCTGTGTCTGCCTCTCTCTCTGCCCCTCCCCTGCTCTTGTTCTGTCTCTCTCTCTTACAAGAATAAATAAACATAAAAACAAAAACAAAAAACAAGTCACCAGAGCCCCACCTCTCAGATGAAACAGAGTGGGGATATTTTCAATTTCTGAATCAGATATTAAGCATTCCAAATGCTGTGGTTTCCTGTATTCTTGCAGTTCCTCCCTGATATAGGGTAAGGGTTTCTGGAAGGCAATGGCTTTCATAAATTTCAAGCCTGGGATAGAACTTGTGTATGCTTTTCATTTCTCATAAACACAGGCACGCATAAGTTTCTTTACAGCAATGTATTAGGGCCTTTGAACTGCACTTATTTAAAGTGTTTTCAACTTTGCTAGTATCTTTTATTGCTTATTAACTTAAAAGTGAGAGATATAATTTAAAACAGGAAATTAAGAAAATGAGGCAAAGTATAGAACAAAAGTATTAATGCAATACGTCACATGTACTGTTTGTTTAATACAGCTGTATATTTAACTTTTAAAACAGACCCAACACCACTTTACTGTATGCTGATGTGCATAGTGGCCTCATAGAACATGAAAAAAAAAAAAAAAACAAAGGGAAAAAATTAGTTTCATACCAAACAATAAAGAACGTGTAAAGCAGAGGACAAAACGGATAGTGTTGTAAATGAAATAGCCAATTCATTTCTAAATGGTGCCTATCGTAGGTCAAATAAAATTAGTTTTTGCTTGATGAATTTAAAAACCTAGTAATTTAAACATATTTTGTAAGCATTTGAATAATTGTGGCTATTTTAACAAGTCTGGTATTAAATTCGTGAAATCACAGGCTTTGGTGGAGATGTTTTTGGGAAAGACAAACTTTTAAGGTTAATTATATATAAGTTAGTACATTTCCCGAGTATCTATAAAGCTACATCCAAGTAACAAAACATAATAAACTAACAACAAAAACAAAAAATGTGAAAACACGTTCCAATTTCACACATGTAAAATTCACCTTGACTAAAAGTAGTGTTAACAGGTCCGTGGAATGCACATACCCGTATAAACACCCGCGATCATTTTAAAGCTTACTTCTGACGAGTATTTCCACAGAGGTTTTTAGGGCGGAAAAACATTTCCAACAAATACAATTGCTTCAAAAGTTAGAGTGATTGGATTTTCAAAGTTAATATCGCTTTAACAGATTCTTTGACTATTTCCGTTTTGTTCAAATTTCTTCACCTGTGTTCATTTCGTGTGTCTCAGAAACCTAGCAAAATAGTGTAATGTTCTTTAGAGCGAAGGGTTCTGTGGAAAGAAATATTAGCCTAACAACTGGAAGGTTAAAAAAAAAAAAAAAAAGCCCAGGGAAACGCTGCAATGCAGCAAACCTTTAAGCCCGCATCTGAGGACAGGAGGCAGGGGTAAGATGGCGCAGTTATTTCTACCTTTCCAGCTCTGACCACAGAATTCACCTGGGTTCACCGGGAAGCGCCCTGAGAGCCGCTTACGTTTGTTCATTGGAAATACAGCTTATATGGGGGGGGGGGGTTCCGACCCCCAAAAATACACGGACCCGGAGAAGCACGAGCCGCCACCGTGCTCGGGGCGCAGGTGTCAAACGCCCGACCCCAGCGCCCTGAGTGGGTCCAGCACGCTCCTTTTCCAACCGTGACTTTGCTGCCCACGAGCAGGAAAGCCCTGGACCCCAGCACGGCTCGCCCCGCGTTCCTTAAGAAGCCTCAGCTCTGGCTTCCTCAGGGAGCAGCCCACTTTGCAAACGCTGCAGGCGCCCCAGGGCAGAGGCCGGCGCTGGAGGCTCCGAGCCCGGAGCCTGGAGCCCGGGTCCCGGGGCTGGACGACGCTCAGCCCCGGACCTTCCCTTGTCGCCTTTCCCTTCTAGGAGGTATAAAGAGCGTCCAGGCAGTCCAAAGAGTGAATTTAGTTCTGTTCTCTCAGCTTCAGAACAGGGTGGGCAAAAAAGGGAGTGCTCAGGAGCCGACCGTGCAATGACCTGGGAACCGCTAGCAATTTCTTGAAAAATTACTTTAATAAAGTCTGAGCACTCCCGAAGGTGGGGGGAGGGAAGGCGGCGCCCGCCAGGGAAAGGGAGGGGGACCTTGGGTCTGTCCAGCGTCTATACCAGGGTGAGGGGCTCGGCCCCTCGCCTTCCTGCCCGCCTCGCTGGAGCCAGGAGCCGGGCGGAGGGCACAGGGCCGAGGCCCGGGCAGGGCCTGCAGGTGCGCGCGACCCGGGGCGGCCGGGGCAGTCGAGGTCCGGCGCCGGGGGGCTTGGCTGGGAGCGCCCCGCAGCGCCCGGCGTGCGCGAGGGCAGCGGCTAGCCGACCCGCGTCGGCGTTTGGATTTCCTTCCCCCTCTAAGCCGCCTTTACAACTTCACCAATGAATAACCCGCCTCTCTTTTCAACCTAATCACGACTCTTTGTGTATCTTTCTGTTGATGATTTATAGAAATAAATTAATAACACCCTAACTCCACGTGCTGCCGTTTATGTTACATCTCTGCTGCGTCCAGCCCAGCGCGGGGCTGGGTGCGGAGGGGGCCCTGGGTCGCCTCGCGCTGCCCAAATCTTCCCAGAGCCCCGCTACAAGCGGCCGCTTGCAGCCAGGTGGATGGGCCCGGGCCCCGCTGGCTCCCCGTGGCAGGCGGCGGGAGCTCGGTTAGACCTCCCGGTCGCCCCGGAGCCCTGGCTGCTTCTCTCCCGACCCCTCGCCTTCCTGCGCCCGAACCCCGGCGCGGGAGAAACCGCCGCCGCTCGCGGAAACTGCGGGGCAGGAACCCCAAACCTACGAATGGCCAAATACTTTGGGGGGGGGACTAGAAATCCCCCCCATTGTCTTTGCTAGAGACTAAGCCGCTGGGCCCTCAGATCGCAAATTCAAATGCAAGTTCACATCCCACGCCAAACTGCTGCTGCGGCCGTGCGACCGAGGCTGCCTGAATCAGAGCGCAACGTTGGTCCTGGCCCCTGCCTTGAAGCCGCGGCGCTCAAGTGTCCGAGGCCACGCGAGGGGCTCGGTCCTCAAGCCAAGCGGCCGAGAGAGACGTGCGGTCTAAGGGTACCGCTGGGCTCCTTGGATAATTAGGAACCAGCTGTCAAAGCCCTCGGCCGGTCGGAGAGGCCCTGCAAAGGATCCCGGACCCGCCAGCCGGCCTGAATTCCCCAGGACGCCGGGATGTCGGGGGCGAGATCTGGAAACGCCCTTCTTTCTCAGTAGGCGACCGAATCCTCGGCGAATGTGGTCTTAGCCGCATTTGCCCCGCCCGCCCCCCGCGCTTGCTTAGATACGTGCTTCTTTTGCCCCGTGCGGGTCAGGCTGGGCCCTGCGACACGCAAACATTTCCTTTTGCAAATCTGAACCGGCTTTGAGGATTCCGGGTAATCCTGGGGCCTTGCATGGGCGCTGCAGATGGGAGTGCCCTCCAGAGAACTGCCCCCCCGCCCCGAGTCCCGGCCCCGGGTGCCCCCAGGCCCTCTGCAAAGAACAGCAGGACGCTGCGCCCGAGGCCGGCCTGCGTTTCACGGGACCGGGTAGGAGGCTGGCCCGGGAGAAATGCTAGGCCCGGGATTTGTGCGGGCCCGAGTCTCTGCTCCTGGGAAGCGGTCATCGTCTCACCGCACCCACCCGCACCTTCAGTAGCGCGCGCAATCCTCCCGCAAAGGGCTCCGCCGCTGCGGTTCTCCCAGGCCGGGAGGACCCCGCGGTCCGGGGCGCTGGCCTGGGCCGGGGGAGAGGGAGCTCGGGATTCAGGGCCCTCCGACTGAGGTACTGGGAGGGGTCCAGGTGTCGGGAGAGAAGCGGAGCGCCCCCCGGGGGACTTCCTTGGTGGGAAACGGACTTGGCGAGAGGGGTCTGAAGCAGCGGAGCTCTGGCACAAGGCCCGGGCTCTAGGGGCTCCACCTCGGTCCGCGCCTACCTGAGCATCCGGTCCACCTCCGCCCGTTGCTCGGCCGCCTCCTCGGTGTTGAGCGCCTGCAGCTCCTTGAGGATGGGAGGGGTGTCATAGTCGTCCCCGTCCTCGGAACCCTCGTCCCCAGACAGGCGGCCCTTGGCGTGGCCGTTCGTGAGAGTATGGAAGACAGGCTTGGTGTCCGGGTCGGCCCCACTCCCGGGGGACAGGGGCAGCGTCTCCAGCTTCACCCCGAAACTCGGGGATGGCAGCAACTCCTCTAAGGCCTGGACCAGCACCTCCTTGGTGACCCCGGAGCTCAGCAGGGCGCTCAGGAGTTCTTGCTGGAGCGACGTGAGCTTGGACACCATTTTCCAAGGACAGAGAAAGAAGGGGGTGAGGGGGTGGGCGCGAGAGAGGAGGGTGGAGGGGAGTTTCACAAGCGAACCCCAAGTCCAGGAGCCCCCCCCACCCTTCAGACACCTGTTACTCCCCGGGGTCCCGGAGTCTCCTCCGAGAGGAGTCAGAAAACTTCTAACTTGCCATGATCGCCACCATTAGGCCATATAAGATATGCAAATTAGTGGGGAGGGCCCGGCTTTCGGCAAGATGCAAATGGTCGTGGGGAGGGGGGAAAAGCGAGAGAGGGAGCGCATGAGGAGCAGACGTGGAGAGCTGGAGACCCGGGCCGGGAGCAGGGCTTGCCAGGGTCCATTGTACTCACGCTGGGGGGCTGAAGACCTTCTTGTACTGGTTCTGTTTATCAGCCAAACTTTAGCTGACCTTTGGACTTGGTAAGCAAGTAGCTTGCAGCGTAGTGTGGGAGGCTTTGGGGCTTTTGCACCCGCTGCGGGTCCAGTTTTAGTCTGGAGAGAAGAAACTGCCCTTTGGGAGTTCAGATGAGAGCTGGAAGAAGTTAGGGTGCTCTTGGAAGGAGATGGAAGAGGATGCAAAGAGTAGAGACCTTCGGAGGCATCCCAACAGACGCAGGTGGCCGGCAGGGAGAGCCAGCCTGGAGAGGAGAAACCGACTCCTTGGGAACGGACGCGGAGACCCGGGGGAAGTGGGGGTGTCAGGCGGGGTGAGTGCGGATCTCCGCGACCCCATTTAGCTCTGCAGACCCCAGGCCCTTACCACACGGGCGTGGAGGTTTGGATCTGCAGAACTGCTGGCCCGGAGAGCGTAGGCGAGCGGGAAGGAGGCCCGGAGAACCCTTGGGAGGAGGCGCCCACTAATTTATGGTCAGGGGAGTAGCCAAAGGTGAGCCCCGCAAGCAGCCAGGCTGCACCTAGGCTGCCCAAGCCTCGCGGGAGCTGGCCGCCTGGGCCATGCTCTCCTGTTTAAACCCGGAATATCAAAGCGCCTCCGCTTTCCGGGCAAAACTAGAATCGCCGGGCCTTCTTCCTAGCCGCGAAAGCAACGCGTGGCCAGCAGCCAGCTGCGCGGACGGTTGGAGCCGGGTGTCCCCGGGGCCACTGCCTGCTGGTTTATTCGCAGCTCCAGGACACAGCAGTTCTCAGGACGGCGCTCTGCGGCCGCGAGGTCACCGCAGCACTGGTGGGAGCAGGCGCCCACCAAGCCGCTGAGGGAATGAAGTTTTTTTTTTCCACCTGGGTCCGGTCAGGAATGAAACCGGAACCGTTCAGCTTTGTGGGAGTTTCACCTGCATCTCCCCAGGGCGCCGAGGGGGGAAAGGAAGGAGGCCTGCGGCGCACCTGGACGTGCAGGCTGGTTCTGACCTGCAGAAGAACAGGGCAAGGGGCTTTTTAGGATCCACCGTTCACAGACCCATAGGCAGAGGACACCCCCTGACCCTCTCTAAGCCTCAGTTCCTCATCCGAGAAATACTGCAGCGGACAGTGCAGGGGGAGGGGTGGTGCATACATTGAATGAGACCACCTGTGAACCCCTTGGTCTAATAATTGGTGTTCACACTTTTCAGCCTGGAAAGGGAAGGAAGCCAGTTCCCAGTAGGAAAATCTAACCCCTTTGGGGGCTTAGTGTTCTCAGAATCGGGCAGATCCAGCACCGGGGTTGGAGGGACTGGGAGATTAGGGACAAAAATTCAGAATCAGCAGGGAATTTGCAAAGGGGCTTCTAACCAAAATCTCCTACCATTCCCACCTTTAAAAGGCAGGAGGAAGTTGGGACGAGTTCTGGGAAATGTGGAATTTCAGCAAGGGGGAGGAAGGATCAGCGGCTCTCATCTGCTTCATTCTGGATCAAATCTCTTAGGTGTGCTAGAGCTGAAGCTCCAGGGGCGACTGATTCAAGTTTGACTGCTAAGAGTGAGGCTGCCTCTTAAACACGGGGTCTGCTGGGGATGCCTGGGACACGTGCCGGGAGCCAGAAGGAAGGGGGTGATTGTGTGCATGGAGTTTATGGAGCCTTCTGGGAAGTTTACACTGTCTCAGGCTCTTCCCTTGAGAAAGCGTTAATAAGTTCATGGAAATGAGGGTCCTTCATTTCACCCTATTGTCTTTTAGTTTGTTGTGACATATGGCAGGTCCTTGCCCCTCACAATTCGGCCCAATGGGAGAACATTCTCTGCCTACCGAGATCCCCTCAGCCAGGATAATGAAGTGTTCAGAGTAAATGTCCCTGGAGAACAATCTCTTTTTCTCTGTGTCTCACTTGCTATCATGATAGAAGCAGTCAAGTGTAATTGAAGATCAGTTTCTGTGTTCGGCTGGGAAAACCCATTAAAAAACCAGCAATCACTTCCCTTTTAACAACAAAGCTTTGATTTGTAGTTCTAACTATCATGTGCCCAGTCTGACTCAAGTTTTCTTATCTCTCAAAATTCAGGTGGTAGCAAACCCATTCTTTCCCCTCTACCCCAGGCCAATGATGTGAACGTGGGGGAAGTTTCACTTTCAGAGGGAAACTTCCTTATGAGTGTCCAGGTATGCCTTTCAGTCAACCTGACTCTTCATGTCCAGCAACTTCCTGTAATCCTCCTGCTCATTCCTACCTTGGATACGATACCTGGTGTAATATGGGTGCTCAGTAAGTAACAGCAACTATAGCTCTGTGAGCAGATCCAATACCTACCTCTTCATATGGACATTTAAAAGGAAAAGTGTAATGATCTCAGCAGACAGTTCTTCAGGATGTGGGTCATAAATGCTAATTCAATGAGTTATCTCTTAAAACCCTTTGGTGAAACTTCCCCCAAATAGGGGAAACAAGAGTACAGTTGAAATACTTTGTACTTATGCTTCACACGGGATACAATGGTGATGAACTGATATAGTAGCCTCCTTTTAAAGGTGGGAAAATAAACCATAAGTCACTTTATTTTTTTTAAAATTTTTTTAACGTTTATTTTACTTTTGAGACAGAGACAGAGCATGAACGGGGGAGGGGCAGAGAGAGAGGGAGACACAGAATCGAGACGCGGGGCTCGAACTCAGGGTCCATGAGATTGTGACCTGAGCCGAAGTCGGACGCTCAACCGACTGAGCCACCCAGGCGCCCCCATAAGACACTTTATTTTATTTGATTTTTTTTTATTAAAAAAAATTTTTTTTTCAACGTTTATTTATTTTTGGGACAGAGAGAGACAGAGCATGAACGGGGGAGGGGCAGAGAGAGAGGGAGACACAGAATCGGAAACAGGCTCCAGGCTCTGAGCCATAGCCCAGAGCCTGATGAAGGGCTCAAACTCACGGACCGCGAGATCGTGACCTGTCGGACGCTTAACCGACTGCGCCACCCAGGCGCCCCGCCCCATAAGACACTTTAAAGGAGGTGGCTTGCAGCTCTTGGAGTAAATGAGGCGCTGGGATTGGGGCTCAGGACTTTTGAGCAGGGTTAAAAGAGGAAAGTCTCCAGTTTTTACTGCTTTGGGAGATGGGAAGTTGAAACAGCAGAAGTGAAGGATCCACGTCAGAGAAATAGAGGGTAGATGTTGAAATCAAACAGACGTCAGTTTGGGTCTCAGATCTGCTTAACCAGCGGTGTGACTTCGGCATAGTGCATCATCACTCTGACCCTCAGATTCCTTATGTGAAAAATGATAATAATATGCCCTACTGGGTTTTTGTGTGAGGGTTAAATGAGTTCATAATCGTGAGCTCCCAGAGGATGACCGGCTCCCACACGTTGAGAAAGAAGCAGAGATATAGGTCATGAAAACATGCAAACAAGTGAGGCAGCTGATCTCTTTGATATCGTTCATTCCTAGCTTATTTTTTTTTAATAGTCACTGTATTTAAAGAGATCATACTAAGTTCTTCTACTCAAAAAATGCACCTGCAGGTTAAATCACAAGATTTGCTATAGGAAGTGCAGGCCCTGGTGTAAGGTCATTTAAAATTCAATTGGCTCATTACTGGATGAAGGCCTTTGGAGCACCATGTTGGAAATTTCACAGGATGGCAAACGTAGTTCCAGTGGATTCAACTCTCCTGTGACTTCATAGCATAAGTGATTTTCCTTTTCTGCTCTTGGGCACACCATCTTCCCCCTACTTTCCATGGCTACCCTCCTTTGCTTATAGCAGAGAGAGCCTGGTCCTCTACTTCCTGCCACTCCACTCTCCAAGGCTCTCCCATTGATTTGGCAGTCCCTAGAAGGCATCAAAACGAAATCTTCTCTAGAGTAAAACATAAATACTGTTCTATCCTGCTCCGAAGCAGGGGAGGGTCTTACCATTAGCACTGTCCGTAGCCTAGAGAACTTTCTGCACTGCAGGGTTAGAGTCTGAGGTTCCAGCTCTGGGTACAATACTCCTTTCTGGAGGACTCTTTCACCTTCCCAAGGGCTTTGGTGAGCATCCTTCTCTGAGCCTCTGATTCTGCTATTTGAAAAATAAATCTTCTATGATTTGACATTTCTAAATGGTTCCATATTACCAGGCTGTCTGTTTCCAGGCCTTTGGGCAGATGGCTTAAGAGCTCAGACTGGACTTCTGTGTAATGCCGGCCACGGGGCTTTTGAGCAGCTCTCGAAAAAGTACACCCTAGACAGGAGACTCCATGAGGGCAGGGACTGTCTCAGGTCCTCCTCTTCAATGCCTGGAGAGATGCCTGATACACAGCACATGCTCAATAAAATAGCTGTTGAACAAAGGAACAAGAGATCATCTCTGGATGCCGTCACTAAGGAAGATTTTTGTTGCTTTATGTGTACTGCTCAATTTCCCAAATTGTCAGCAATTAAGTTGTAGTTTAATGTTTATTTTTGAGAGACAGAGTGCAAGCGGGGAGGGGCAGAGAGAAAGGGAGACACAGAATCCGAAGCAGGATCCAGGCTCTGAGCTGTTGGCACAGAGCCTGACACGGGGCTCGAACCTATGAACCATGAGATCATGACCTGAGCCTAAGTCAGATGCTCAACAGACTGAGCCACCCAGGTGCCCCTGTGTGGCTGTGTTCTGATGAAACTATTTATAAAAACAACTGGCTGGCTGGAATTGGCCTATGGGCCACAGTTTCTCAACCCTTGGGTAAAGCACTTACACAGGTAGAAATCCAGAGATCTGAAGCGATCTTGTAGTCATCCCATATCACAGTCTATTTTCAGGTTGGGGAAGTGGATATAGGAAGGAGAAATGTCTTTCCCAAGAGATACAGAACATTGCACTAGAGAAATCCTAGCATTGGAGCCAAACAAACCAGCTGCTTCTGGGGGGTGGGGTGGGGGTGGGTATGGCTATGGCTTTGTGCAAGTTACTTAATTTCTTTGAGTCTTTGTATATATCATCACCACATGTAGATGGTGATAATGATGGAATTTATCCCTTATAGGGTTAATGGAAGAATTAAATTCGATAACACAGGAAAACATCTTGTTATGGGGGCTGGCCAGAGTAGGGCTTACCTACAACCAAGTTGCTTCCTCAATCACAGGACGTGGCTCAGGGACTCCCTCCCTGTCTCCCCCACTGCCTCTCCTCTAAATGGAGAGCTTCTGGATTGAGTTCACTGACAAATACTACCAAGCGTCTGCTATGTGTGAAGTCCTTTGACAGGAGAGCTGTGAGCTAATAACGAATGAATACAGGAAAATCTCAAATCCCACCAACCCCAGGCCTCAGCTTTCTTTCTAGAAACCCCTTCCCACTCTGTGCTTCTATTTCCCAAACATGCTGCTATCAGATGATCTTTGCCGGGGAAACTCCTAGGGGTAGCAGAGATTTCTCATTTCGATTCAACAACCCACATCCTTCTCCTGGGTCATTTTTAGAAATAGGGTGTTCCCAGTAGCTTGTAAAAGATTAAATTAAAAACTAGCAACCTAGTACGGTATTAAACTAATAAATACTACACCTCGCACAGAGAGCCTTCATTCCAGAGCAATAATCTATTCCTCCTCCTAGCACAGCCATGAAGAGTGATTGGCAGTGGGCCCAGCACACAGCAGGTACTCCATAAGTGTTTACTGGACGATGTGGGCTCGGGTATGGTATTTAGAAAAAAAAAGAAGAGCGCTAGTCTTTACTAAAATCCCTTGGAATCTGTTTCCAGATTAATATTCAAATAAGTGCTAGTGAGGTGCCCTTGCTATATTCTCCCCTTCTCCTCATGAACTTACGAGATAGGTGGTATCAACCCCACCTTATTGATGAGCACATGGAACCTCTGAGAGAGAGGGATTGGCCCAGAGACCCACACATGGTTAAGGAGCGGAACCTGGGATCTGAATGACGGACCTTCTAATCCCGCGTTCTCAGTGCCTCTTTTCTGGCCCTTCCTGGCAACTTCCAACCCTCTACCCACCCAAACCGAGGGGGGAGCACGTAGGAGCACCCCGAATGGTCTCGGCACAGAGAGACATCTTGTGATCAGGTGTGTGAGAGGCAGATCAGTCTTTCCTGTCCAAGGAGATATCTGCCACATAAAGAACTCTAATACTTGAACAGGGTTTAGTGTTGTGCAGAGCTCTCTCCTTTCCTTTTATCCTCAAAACAGTCCCGTAAAGAAGGCAAGGCAGGCATTACCATTCCCGTTTCACAGGTGAGGAAGCCGAGGCTCCGAGAGGAAAACCGACCGACCCCCTGAAGGTGGCAGACCCACCATCTCTTGACCCAAGTCTTCTGAATCTAGAAGCCAGCGTTTTCTCCACAACGCTGTGTTTGTGTAACGACAAGGTAGCACAAAGTGCGGCCCACGTACAAGACCTAAGAATAAGACACGCCCAGAAACTCCCATCTCCACTCCTGAAAAGCTGCACGAGTGCTGGGAAAGACACCGGGTCCAGTCTATGAGGCAGGACCTGCCAGGCACTTGCTTTACCCTGTGCCTCCCCCACCTGTCTCCTCTCCGCCCCCCTCCCCTTGGTGGCCCCTGTGTTCTTTCTGCCTGCTGTGTCTGGGCAGGAGTGCTGTCCACCGCATGCACCTTGGGCATGACAGTGACCACGGGACCCCACGCTGAGGGGATGGTGTCCTTCCATGCTCTTGTGACTAGACACAGTCCCTGCTCCCAGGCCTGGGGGTAAAGAGCATTGCAGGGTTGCTGACTCAGTGTAGCAAACATTTACTGGGCACCCATTACGCGCCAGGTGCTGCGGTAGGTGTCCGGCCACTGAGATGGGCAAGATTCGATTTATATAGTGGGACGTAGAGACATGTAAACACTTCTATTTCTAGTTAGAATGGAGCGGCTTTATAAGAAGCCCTGTGCTGACTGTTTTGCATAAGACATCTCACTTACTCCTACTAACAGCCCCATGAGACAGTGTTATTACTCCTACTTTTAGTTTTCTCAGCTGATGCTCAGAGTGCTTGAGGTTCGGAAAGCTGGTTACTGATCATACCAAGTTAGAAATCAAAATAGCGCTGTCTGGCTTCTAACATCTGTAGCCAAGAGGCAGATACAACAGAGGAATCAGCATGGGGCTTGGAGTCAGGCTGATCTGAGTTTGAAATTTGCCTCTTCCACTTCCTAGGTGTGACGTTGGGCGAGGGGCCGCTCTGAACCTCAGTTTCTTCACCTACAAAAAAAGAAAACAGTGTAGAATTTGGCAGGAAAGATAAATACATAAACCACCTGGCACAATTAATCATAGAAACAAATGCTAATAATCATAGGGGAGCCAGCAAAGTGTTGTAGGGGCTCAGAGCCCTGGAAGGATAAGTAGGATTTTGACAAGAAGTCAGAGAGTGTTTCAGGCAGAAAGAAGGGCTGAGCAAAGGCTTCAAGCGCAAACCAGATTCTGCAGCTCCTCTGAAAACTTGCTTTAAAATTCATGCGCCACAGCAAACTTTCCTGATGAGTTCTGTTCCTTCTAGCGATTCCTGGCCTCCCACGGCCTTCTGGGATCCGCTGACGGCTCACTCCCTTAGGAAACCCCAGCAGA